ACTGATCTATTTTCTAGAAAAAGTCTCCTTTCGGCTTTTAAGATTTAAGTTTAACATTATCAATATCACATTATTAAGTTCACAATATATGAGAGTCGAGTTTCCAGTTTAATTTTAGTTAGTCCATGCATGGAAGATGCAGCACTTGGATATGATCATAGTGGTCACCAGAGAGCGAAGACATACAATATACTCCATTACACATGTTACTGTTTTAAAACTAAGGATTTCGTGGTATAAATGCCGATCACATAAAATGTAAAGCGAAAACGATGAGATTCTTGCGAGTTATACTTTTGTAGTTCGAGAAGAGACCACTCGAATGGCGCATGAATGAACTTCCTATATTTCACCAAAAAAACTAGATAGCTGTTTTTCCGAGGAGGTCTCCGCCTTGGTGATATCCTTGAACATGAAGTTTTCGTGCAATGACTTTACATATGGGAAGCATAAAAGGCACATTTTCTAATTCGATTTTGAACGCTGAATTGAAAAAAAGCGTTTTGAGAGTTTCAAAATAAAACGGAGAAAAAGTGTTTAACTTTTTTCGAAAGGGGAAGTTTCTCGACTTCTAAGACCCTTCCCGTATTTTCAATTTTTCGACACGCAAACGTGCCTTGGAAAAGCTGGAAAGGCGATATTAATGTTCAGCTTCAAATTCTCTATCGAATCATATATAAGGAAGCTAAAATAGTGCTTGATTTTTGAATTACGCGCACCGTAGAAAAGAAGCAGATGCGTAAAAGTCAGCGTGATCTCCTGTCATATACAAATATTGCCCACTTGTCATTATCTTGTTAAAATAGAGAAATATACGATAATAGAAAAAAGCTTGATATCATGAAAAACGCGCATTCAGAATTAGCCTGGATTCCAACTGCACCTTCAAGTTTTAGATTTAGAAAACCCGAGATACTCTTCATTCTTCCCAAAATGTCCAGACGACTGTTCCAAACCCATTTATTGTTTTTCTAACGCTAATTTGCGATGAAAAACGGTATTTTCCAATTAAATGCCGCATCGATAGTGATGCGATAAACATATAAAAACATTGTTCATAATGAAACCTAGTGATGCGATAAACATATAAAAACATTGTTCATAATGAAACCTAGTGATGCGATAAACATATAAAAACATTGTTCATAATGAAACCTAGAAGAGATCAGGTACGCACCGGTATCTGTATACCGAATACCGAAAATACCGACTTTTTTCATTTAAAAAGAGATAGTTTAGCATCACAGACATAAAACAAGAGCTGTGTTTGTTTTCTAAAGCCAAAGTCTGTCCATCTGCTCAAACTCAGAACACAAAGCTTGTGTTCTGGCTGTGGTGATGCTAAAATATCTCATTTCAAAAGAAAAAAACTCCAAAAAAATCGGTAATCTCGATATGGATACCGATACCGTCGCATATCCAGAAGAAATGTAAGTTAATCGTCTGCAACGCTTTCTTAGATTAAGAATGAATATGTTCTAAGATTCTCTATTATAGTTCGTTTCTTTAGCGAAAAATTCCTCGTTCGTCCAACTCGATTCAGATCTATTTCTAATAAATACTCCAACCATCGCATATTAGTTAAAATTGATTGAGACGAAGTTGCATTGACTGAACATCATAATTCTATCGTCTGCTATATTTTTAAGTTAAACGTTTTATTCTATTTTAAACAACAACAGATCGCTGTTCAAGCTAACAGTAAAAGTAATAAATAAAAAAACAATATTTGACAGGATAAGACCACGTTCACGGATAATTGCTTGCTTTAACAATCGCTTTTCCAAAATTATCACCTTTGAACAGACCGGCCAGTGCTTTTGGCATTTGATCAAAACCATCATAAACTTCTTCTTTATATCTGAGTTCACCCTGTGTAGGAAAAAGAAGGGTTGACTACAAAAATCAGATGACAAACATGGTGATTTATCCTATACCTTTTTGATACATTCAGCCAGTTCGGATAAAGCGTTTGGCCCTTCACTTTTGTGCATCGTAACCAATACACCATAAATTTTTAATTCTTTTAAAAATATTGTCAAATTATTTTGAGGATCTGAAACAATTTAGTACCATACGAAATTCTAACAGAAACCGACTTACGAGGGAACCTCTAGAGGTGATAAAAGGCTTTTTGATCGAAATATAGTGGGTTATAGGTTATTGAGCATGCTGATCTCGAATATGACCATGTCACTTGCTCTTGGCCCTTTGAAGTTCCGGTTTCATGGAAACCAGTTTTTCAGAAACTTCAAAAAGTAATTAAAATCTTCCTCAGTAATGCATGATTGTAGCCCGCAAATTTTTGATTAAAATGAGACATCTCCCAGCTCTACACAATCTTTCTTTGCAAAGTTATAGCATTTACAAAAAAAGTAATAAATGTTTATTAGCACATGGCTACAGAAATAAGAAGGAAAAAATTAATTAGAGCTTTTCTTGTAAATGCTATAACTTGGCAAATAAACGTCATGTAGAATTGCGAGATGTCTCATTTTAATTAGAAACTTGCTGGCTACAGTCATGCCTCACTAAGAAGGATTTTGGTTATTTTTTAGAGTTGGCTTTCCATCAAATCGGGACTTTAAAGAGCCAAGGGCAACTTCCTGGGTCATGTTCGAGATCAGCATGCTCAATAACCTGTAGCCCACTACATTTCGATCAAAAAGCGTATTATCACCTCTAGGGATTCCCTCGTTAGTTCGTTCATGTTCATGTCAGCGTGTGAAGGTTACTTACATGTTTTTGGTTCTTTATTGTTATAATTTGATATTGATCCACAAATACACGTTCGTCCTCGAATTCGCATATGTTTCGAAATCATTTCATGATGAAAATCTCCACCCACCTTAAACAAGAATGTATGTCAAACTTCTCTAATTTCTCGTATCGACCAAAATTACATTATCGTAGAACACATCGACTCCATTCGGTGCTGATTCTTTTAGAGCATCTTCCAGCGTTATTTTCTTGTAGTTATAAACATAATCAAATTTTAAATCATTTTTACACCATGACACTTTTTCATCTGTACCAGCAAAACCAATTACCGTTAAACCCTAAATAAAATAAATAATTAGTTCACTCTCTTTCTTCTGATACAACTGTCATACTTTAGCTTTTGCCAATTGACCTACAATACTACCCACAGCACCAGCGGCTCCGTTCACCACACATATTTCACCCGCTTTTGGTTCACACATCCGAAGGCCAGAATATGCAGTTAAACTAAAATTTTAATATTTTATGTTCATTTCAGTTCAAGAAGCATAAAACTCACGCGGGCATGCCTAATGGTCCCAATGCCAATGATGGCGATAATTGTCCAAGATCAAAAGGTATCGGTCGCAATGGTGGCTGATCTCCATTTGAAATAAAATGTGTACGCCATCCACTCGGTGCCAACACTAATGTGCCTACTGGATATTTTCCGTTCTTACTTTTCAATACTCTACAAAGATATATGGATCACTCAATATTAAATGTAAGTTTAATCGAAGATTCATTTACTTTGATACTGCTTCACCAAACATGGTCTTGTATTTACCAAATGGTTTTCCAAGGTGTTCGCCAGGGATTCTACTCACGAGTGGTGAGGTTAACATATAAGACAAAAAAATGAATTAAAGCTAAAATTCACTTACCCCATATAAGGATCAACTGTCAAATAGACCGCTTCGCATAAAATCTCTAAATATTTTTAATTTTTACATAAATTTCGATTGTCAGAGAATTATCTGACTATTATACAACCTCCATCTATTAAATCATCTGGCAAATTTTCTTCAACTAATTTAAAATCATTTTCTGTTGGATTTCCTTTAAAATCACCTGGTTTTGTCCAATGTTTTGTAACAACCATGCTGTCTTTTCAGTAGTTAAAGAAATGACTATATCTAACGATAAATTTATAGATGTATTTTTGTTTTCTTTACATGCGATCAAGATTGACCTTTATCACTCGTCATTGTAAGTGGAGAGGTTTCAAACAAATGGTGCTATACATGCTATAAGAACAAGAAGAAGAAAAAGAGAAATATAAATACGTAAAAAACAAAATTTATCTTTTTTGTTCTCTCTGTTTTCGAACAAAATCGAATATATATATATATTTTGTTGTATCACTTTACGTAATACAACAATCAATAATCAACTGAGTTGTGAAATTTTACAAAGCTAAAAATGGAGTTAAAGATTTCTAATGTCGGGACTACGTACGACTGACGGATTGACCCAATTCTAGAGATAAGATAGTAAGAACAACGTGACACGTTCTCGTTCTTTTCGTCTTGTGTCTTGCTGTTATAGATTTCTTTCGTTCTGACGTTTGGTATATAATAAGACACACACTCTTACGAAAAGAAAGCGATAAGACAAGACTTATACTTACATACGTTTCATACTTTTTTTCTTTTTTCTTTCATGTACCATCCTCTTCGGAGGACGTTAACTGTAAATCTCCATTATCCATAATTTGTAATAAAATCTTTTAAAATCTGCTATTTTTCTGTGAAAATCAACATATTGCGTGAAATACGAACTTCTTTTAA